AGCAAGGCTTGGTGACCTGGGGGGATTTACTGGCCTGTGTGTCTCTGTACAGCTCATGAGTGGCTTAGAGGATAACGTAGCTGGGTGTGTCCCTGCACGCTGTTGGCTGAATGATCACAGCACCTGGAGGTGTCTGCTGCTTGTCATGTGTGTTGCATTGTCAGTGTCAGCCCAAGGAGGAGTGTTAAGGGACACCGTGGTCCCACCATTCCAGGTTGTACCAACCCACAAGCAACCACTGGCCACAAAGAGCCTGAATTTAGCATCTCTGAAAGCCATCAGCTCACAAGCCTTGTGCCGGCCTACTCAAACGAATCACTTCCCAAGGCCCCAACGACAAATGGTCTACAGCCGTGTTTCTCAACCAGTGGTATGCGTCCCCTTGGGGGTACTCGAGAGAAGTCTGGGGGGTACCTACATGTCCCATTGGGGGTACTGGAGAGAAGTCTGGGGGGTACGTCAACACAACTGAAATTTGGAGAAAACCGATTTTTTGTGTTAAGTTTTACAGCGTTTTATTATTTTTGTACTTTTTACACTCAAACATTTCATCGCCCTCCTGGCTACGATTAAGTTGTTTAAGCAAATGTCTTGCAGTGGTAGAAAAAAATTGAGTGTATCTGAAAACTGTAGGTACTGGGGGTACTTTTTTTTTTTTTAAAGGGGTACTTTATAAAAAAAAGGTGGAGAAACATTGGTCTACAGCAGCAGTGAGGAACTACCAGCTAGTCTACTGCTTGTAACCAGTGCCAAGAGACACCGTGAATAACCCTACTTCCCCACTGTGCTACCCACAGGTGCCTAACCAGATGCACACACAGCCCTCACCTCTGCAAAAGCTGAACACTTAGGGACTGTCACCGTTCCTCCTCCACACTTTATGTTCCTGTTTCTGTCTCCGTGGTTCCCTGCCACCCTCCAACTACCCGGACCCTTCCCTTGACCTGTCTGCTGTTCCTCCTCAAGCTGCTTCTTCGAGGCCTATCACGCACCAGGCAATGTCTTTGCACAAAAGAGAGAGTTGCTTAGAAAAAACACCAACGTAACCAGGCGTTGACCTTCTGCTGTAACCCTGGCTTTCTCTCCCCACCCACTCGCAGTTTATCTTCTCAGGTCCTGTCACAGCCCTGGTTGCAAGCTCTTCAGGGTGAGCAGCCCCTGCAAAGCACCAGTTGCATGTCAGTCACCATCTGATACCGCAGGACCGTTCTTAATGAATTCCTGCAGCCCCCCTGTTTATCTCCATGCATAGGACCTGGGGAGAACAACCGAGGCTGTGATGGGGCCTCAATCAAGAGCTTAGCTGATTGTTATCTGGTAGGAGCAGACATCCTCCTACACAAAGTTGTGTCTCACCCACTCAGCCAGACTTTGGAAGTTTGCTTCCGAGCTTAGGCAATTATAAGTTACTGTGTAACGGTTGTAGCCTGTTGTACTAACTCCTCGGACTTGCAGGGTTTTGCTCCATTTCATCCCAGCCTGCAAACCTGCCGTCTCCAGCGAGGGTTTGCTAAACAACCTCGGTCTCCTCCAAATAGACTCCCGCAGGTCTATATGGGCCCTGTGAAGGATTCACTCTATGCCAGTACACAGCTTGTACGCTGCATCAGCTTGCCTAGAAAATGCAAGCACCTCAAGCAAAGTTAGTGACTCACCGTGCGGCTCTCTATGCATCTCTGATGCTTGCCATAAAAATCTACATCAAGCTCCCCTGTTAGCCCGCACGGCTGACCTCCCAATTACAACACGCTGCTCTGAACTAGCTAGCGTTTGAGCAATAACCTCCCCCCTCATTAGATGGGATCAGAACTGCTCAGCTGTGTGTCTTAGGCCCTACTCTGCTGACAACGAATGGAGAGTCTCCTAGCTTTGAGTCCTGGAGCACGCGAATCGTCATGCCATTGTCACAGGAAGTCCTGACGCGTATAGCCCCCGGCCATCGCGGGCGTGTGATGGCACAGACGCTTCAAAACTCTTACCTTGTGCAATTTAGTGCTTAAAGAGTTTCTTTGGAAATCAAAGCGGCCAGTGTTTGGTTATTCCATGTGGTCCTGAGATACAAGCCTGGATTTAACCTTTGTTAGGGCAGCGATCTCCAACCTTTTTAAGCACAAATTCAAAAAAGTGATCTTAAGTGCAATCTAGGATCTACCTCAAACCCAAATACCCTTGTCCTGACTCCTGTGTGCCCCTTCTCCAAGGCCCTGTCCCTCCTCACTCCATCCTCCCTCCCCCCCCGTATACTTCCTCCTTTTCATCAGGCAGGGGCAGAAGGCTGGGGTGCTGGTTCTGGTCTTTGGTCAAGGGAGTTGGAATTTCTCTGTGCTGAGTTGTTGAGGTTCAAGGAGGGGGTTCAGGGTACAGGCTCTGTATGGGAGTTTAGGTCTGGGGGGGCTAGGGCAAGGGTTTGGGGTGCAGGAAGGGGTTTGTGACTGGGGCAGGGGTTCAGGACGCAGGCTCCAGCTGGACACTGCTTACCACAGGTTGTGCAGTGAGGCTAAGGCAGGCTCACCCCTGTCCTGGCTCTGCACCACTCTGAAAAGCAGCCCGCAAACTCCCGCCATCCCAAGCCCCGTTGTGCCCCCCTCTGTTCTGTGGAGATAGTAGTCAGAGTGTCCCCTCTCCCACCCTGTAATCAGAACCTCCTCCTCTTCCCACCCTGCCTAGCAAGTGGGAAGGGACAGCTCGAAGGCAAAGGACAGGGGCTATGGAGCAGTATGGGAGGGGCAGCTGAAGTGCTGGCATTTGACGGCCTCTTGACCAAACCAGTAAAGATCACCCGTCAGATGCTCCAAGATCTACCAGTCGATCCCGATCTACTGGTTGGTGACCACTGGCTTAGGATGATTCTACTATCAACTTTATACAGCTGCAGGGACATTCAGTGTGCCGCACCTTAAGTGGGATTAAAAACACAACTCCATGGACCAGGGTTCCCTGGAAGCTGAGTACTTCAGCAGCCACCCAGGAGGGATTCAAATGAACTCCAGCTGATCAGCAGAGCGCCCACAGCATGTGTTTCTATGGGTGGTGCACATCCACGCTTGCCTCAGTGCACATAAAATTGATGCTGCACGTGGACAGAAAAAGTTAGAGGGCGCTTTGCATAATGCCTTCAAAGGAACAACACTGAGCCAAGAAAAGGGTTAAGATGAGCACAGCAAAGTTCCTGGCCAAGAGCCCACGACGTGGGTTACACACCAAAGCACCCAAGCAATCTTACGGCGGTGGTGCACATCCACGCTTGCCTCAGTGCACATAAAATTGATGCTGCACGTGGACAGAAAAAGTTAGAGGGCGCTTTGCATAATGCCTTCAAAGGAACAACACTGAGCCAAGAAAAGGGTTAAGATGAGCACAGCAAAGTTCCTGGCCAAGAGCCCACGACGTGGGTTACACACCAAAGCACCCAAGCAATCTTACGGCGGTGATGAAGCCAAGCCTGTCAAATGTAAAGAGTGCAAAAGGCTCCCAAGATAACAGCCGGATGGTACATTTGTTACTGTTGCTCATGTAGGCCCTCAAAAATCAGAGGCCACCTGTGCCAGGCACACCACAAAGAGATGGCTCCCGACAGCCGTCGGCTCCGCTCCTACTGGCAGGGATACTATTCCTGTGCACAAAGTTAAGCAGGTGCTTACCCAGGGACCTGAGCCAAAGCAAAGAGACCGGGCGCTGTTTATTTAACACGGTTTCCCTCATTAAATAGTTTGCATGGTGGGAATGCAGGGCCTCTCCCTTCACACAATTGCGTTCTTCAAATACCCTGACAAAGAGGCATTGCTTTCCCCGTGGCCAGCCTAGTGCATTCCAAGTCCAACCTTGCCCAGAGCGTAATCCATCAATGCCCGGAGCAAGCCGCAAGGAGCACGGAAAGTTAGATTTCACGCACAGGCATGCACATTAGAGAGAAACTGCCTGCAAATGGGTATGACCCAGCAATCCAGTCTCCCTCTGAAGCTGTGGCGTCCAACACGCTAGCTGCTAGCCACATGTGGCTATTCGGCTGGTTGAGCGCGGCTAGTTGGCTCGCAACATTATTTGCGTTTTCAGAATAATGTGGCTAGTTTGCTAGAGCAGTAGCGACCACTGCTTCAGAACTGCTTGGACACCATGGCTCTAAAGCCTGCAGATAAAGCTTTTGCCTCCAACTAGCCCTACCGATGACTTCTCTTTCGAGCCACACACGCTTCCGATCTCTTCCACAGAGTAAAACAATCAGCAAATGCTCCCAGAAAAATAAGTCCCTTTTGAACACGACCCATCGACCCCTATTTCCACCAAAACCTGCCCATATTCCCCAAGGCAGAGCCCCACAAGCCGGTGGAACAAAACAAACCAGATTTGTTTGGGGTTTGGGGGTGGGGAATGTCCGGATCCCTTTAAGGCTGTTAATTCTGCTCTGTCTCCTGCCAGGCCTGGGAGAGGGACACTACCCAACGGATAGCCGCCCAGCCCCTCCCAAGTCCGCTGCAGTGAGTGGTGAGCAGGCTCCCTGATGTTGAAATTTGGTGCAGACAAGCTGGGAAACGCCACTTGGGAAGAAGAGTTTGATGCTTTCAAAAACCCCAACCCAGGGCTCCAGCCACGCCAACACCTGGGCGCTTCTATTTCCCCCTCCGGGGCTAGGAGGGAAGGGAGACCCCACTGCAGCCGGCTCCTCCTGGTGCGGGGGGTGGCGAGCGCCCTGGAATAGCCGCGCTCCTGCCATGTCCCCGGGGGGCGCGCTGCGCCCCTGGGCGCGCACAAAT